AGGCACTGAGAGGAAAAACATCCTAATTAAAGGCCACAGTCTCTTTCTGTCCCCATGTGGCATTGAAGTCACAGTTCATCGGGTTGGGAAGGGAAACACTGACAGTGATGATGATGCTGGGGTCATCATCGTCAACATTGCTGATTGTAATTATTCTTATACTAACACATAATTACCCAGAAAGGCTGTGACCAGTTCAGGTGCAGAACTCCCAGCTGCCATAAATGTGGCTCCTGCTACATCCTGAGACAGTCCCAGACCTACAAGAGATGCAAGAAACACCAGGAATATACAACAATTTACTTGGTGGGTACAAAACAATAGAACCACCTGACAATTCAACAATACCACAAACTGCAACCACAAAAGTAACCACTTAACAATAACTGACACTTCATAAAGGTCATATTTATTGTAGAACTAAATCTATTGTATAGTATTAGATTATATTGTACAAATATGTAATCTATCCAGCCCCTGTAACTTAGTTAAGTTTACATCTTATTAACGATTAGCACTTCTTTGATTAGTCAATGAACAGTTTTGATAATAGATTAATGGTTTCATTAATTTAATGATGCAAAAATGCAGAATATTTCTAAGTTCTAGTTTCTAAAAATATGAGGATTTTCTGGTTTTCTCTGTTTTATATCCTTTAAACTGAATATATCTGGGTTTTAGACTGTTTGCCAATTAAAAGACATTTGAAGGCATCAGCTCAGAGCCCTTTAGTTTAATGTTAGTATAATTGATGATAGAAATCAAGTAGAACACACTTTTACCACAACATGGTAAAAGTTATTCAACAAAAAAACTGTTATAAATCAATTATACATAGCAAATAATAGCACTACAGACTTCCAAACTGCAAATGAACTCCCTTAACTGAACATTACTAATTAAAAATAGCTACACATATTGTATGCACATAGGCCGCAACATATTTCATGTCACTTACGTTCACTGATCAATTCCAAGGATGGCAGAAAGTAGTCATCGCAGACTATTGCGACAGCCAAAAGCATGTAGAAAATAATCATAAAATAAATGACGAGCCCTCCATCCTTCCTCTCCTGCACCGTGAAGAAACCGCCAGGAAACTCGGAGGACTGCGGTAAGATGCATTCTGTCTCATTCTCTGAAACACACACACACACACACACACACACACACCAGCATCAGTGACAAAATCTGTGAAACCCTAAACATCCCGCCTGTTGCTCGAGATCTGCAGATAGTTTGAACTCTTAATGGCAGTTACACGCTCTTCCATGCCAATAAGACATGAGGATTAGTAGAGTAAACAACTTTCACAGTTACTGAGCCCCAATTGATTATTCACACTTCGTACAACACCAAAATGAGCCGTGACATTTATAATGGACACATTAAACAGATTGGAATAATAAAACAAACCTATGTAGGAATACTGGGGGAAAACACTAAAAAGTGAGCAAAAATCACACACACATTATTTCCTCATATTATTTCCTTACCAAGAGCCCGACGCACCCTGGCAGGGTGGCTTTCCTGAGCTGTTTTTGCTGTAAATGACACAAGATGGACCGTGCAATATAAAAATATTACAAATCCTAAAAAGTAAGGTATGAAGTCTTTTCTCTTCTTTTTCTGCAGAGCTGCAACGTTATTCATGGTCAGTTTAAGTCAGTGAAGTGAAATTAGCAAGTGTTCCAAGGAGTCATATGTTGCTTTAGTCTAACAAGCTTGCAAATAGGCGATTAAATAAGATGCTTGTAAGCTTCGCATCTAACACTACACTACGACTACAAGCTGCAAAGAGAGATTATTGCGGGGGAGAAAGCATCTTTTAAGGTCTGGCGCTACCGAGAAGGGGGGGGGGATCACGAGTTGTGAGTCATTCCAGTGACTTGAACACCCTCCAGCCTGGGGCGCATCAGGGGTGTAATTCAACATAAAGCCCCCTTAACACAGCTCTATTACATCTTTACCTGTGGAAAATTAGTTGTTTATTTTCTAGTAACGGAACTCAAATTTGGCATGCCTATAAATATTAAATAGGGTAAGGCCTGAAGCTCCGCAGGTTAGAAAGTTTGAAGTTCTCCTCCAGTAAAAAAAAAAAAAAGTTTTTCTTTTTGTCCCACCAGTTGTTTTAGTTGTTTGAGCTTCATTTGTGAAGAATGATGTATGTCCAGAGTTTGACTCTAGAAGGATGTTTTCACATCGATATGCTGGAAATGGAGAGTTTCTCTGGAAATTTGATTTTAAGGGGTGGTTCAGCTTGGTTTCTAACACATGTACTACTAGGTATATGTGTTATCATATGACTGGGGGGATCTTTAACTTAACAATAAAGCTTTGATGCTTGATTTTAGCACCAGCTTGAGAGACAATTCACCATCATGTGCATTAGTGGCCACCCATGAAGTGTCAGGAGTTAGGTACCCATAAAAAAAAGTTACTCAGTTTGGGTATCCTGAAAATGTAAGCCATAATTTTCACACAGGCCTATATAGCAAAGAAGAAAAATATAAACAACACATGTATGTGACACAGTAATATCTATCTATATATTTCCCAGCAGCCATGTTGACAGGAGATAGTAGGGTAAACATAGGTGTTATGAATGGCACTAATTACGGCTCAGTTCCATTTAGTGCAGAGCCTTTTCAGTGAGCCAACATGCAGATTGGCAGCAGCATCTACTCTGTTTGACCTGAATGGAATGGGGCCTTAATTAGTATCATT